GTCAGCAGTGTGCTGAAGGTACCTGGTTGTGTATCTCACTCAGGCTGAGCGAGTGCTGCCGTGGAGGTTTCGTCCCGTTGTCTGGACGCTGTGGAAGATGGGATGGAGAGGAAGAGGCTCAGGCCCAACCCTACCAAGACCAGGTGGCTGTGGGTATTTGGACTTCCCGTCTTCAGCCCTAAATGGGGTTGCGCTTCCTGGTTCAGGACTAGTGTGCAGTTTGGGAGTTTTCCTGGACTCGCTGGGCCAGCTCGGGGCGCTGGTAACAGCCATGGCCAGGAAGGCTTTCTCCCAGCTGCGCCTGTGCTGGGGCCGAGAGGCCCTCCACACCTTGCTCACCTCGCCAGGTGCTTCAGGTGGGCGGCCCCCAAAGGCCAGTCGGCAGCTTCAGCTGGTCCAGAATGCAGCAGCCCTGTGGGCCCAGGTGACCTGCGGCTTGAGAAGCTGCCTGGCTTCTGGGTGCTGTTTAAGGCACCGGCCATCACCTATACAGCCCTTCGTGGCACAGGGCCCGGCCTTCCGAGGGCCCGCTGGTCTCCTGTGGTATCTGCCTGTCCTGTTTGATCCCGCGATTAAGAGTGTCATTTGGGACCCAGGGAGTGGGGCCTGCCCTCCAGAACAAAATGCCTCAGAGGTTCGTGTGGCCCCTGCGCTGACCTTGTTTAAAGGAGCCTTTAAAACCTGGCTCTTCCCCCAGGTGTTGGGCTAAGTGGAGTGAGAAGCCCTCTATAGACGGTGTTTGTTTTGCTCTCTTCTGGAAGACCGTCATTTTTAATCTGCAGTATCTCTATTGTAACACAGCGTGCCACCCGGAGCCATTATGGAATTGGACAGCCTTAGAAATTAGACAGATAGATAAAACAGAGAGATAGCAAAGGCCCTGCTGGCAGTTTCGGGCTGCCCCTACTGTGCCCCCCAACAGGGCAACCCCCTGCAGGCATCCACCGCCCCCTGCAGCTCAGGTGGGGCCACACCCCTGCCCAGCCAAGCAGGGCCACTCGCTCAAGGGCACAGCAGTGCTCTGCTGGCCGGAGTCAGCTGGGAGGGTGAGCCCCAGTCCCCCCAGAAGCACCCCTGGACTTGCTTGTGCCAGTGCTGGGGAGGCTGGCACCCAACCCTGATCACAAGGTCGAGGCCCTCTTGAGCCAGGGAAGGCTCAGAAGGTCAGAGCCCCCGAGCAGCTCCTGCCATGGCCAGGCTGGCTCTTGGACTTCCATCTTGCCTCCACCTTCCTTTGGTTCTGGGCCATGCCTGGCCCCTCCTGGAGGCTGCCCCCAGGACTGCTCCTGCACAGCTGGCCTGAGAGACCCTCCCCGGGGTGCCCTTTGCTCAACCCCAGGCCGCTGAGCTACAGCGGCCAGCGGGGCTCCGGGCGCCCTGACCCCATGCCAAGGGAGGCGCTCCCGACCTCCATCCTTAGCCTTGCCCAACCAGAGAGCACGTCCCTTGGGGGGGCCGCGGGGGCCCTCACCCTTCGCGCACAGCCGCCACATAGCGCAGCCCAGCTCTGCAGTGTTTCTTACTGTGAAGAAAAGGGCTCTGCGTGAATGTGTGTGTCTGTGGCTGCTCTTTGCTAAAGCAGTCTTGCTTACTCGGGAGAGGCAGGATCTCGCTCGTCTGCTCAGTCCGCCCGCGAGGAGGAGGACTCTGGAAGCCCCCCGGCTTTCTGCAGACCAGCTGGCCTTGCCAACCAACAAGGGGCTGAGCTTTCTGCAAGGAAAAGCCACGGCGAGAAACAACGAGGATGAGCAAATCTCTCCCCCCGCCTCCCCCTGAAGGCCAGGCACTTGGTGTGGCACCTGGAGCTGCTCCCCTGGCATTCATTTGTCTGGTTTAGGGAAAGGGCCCTGGGGAGCCCCTGGGCTGGACTGCCCTGCAAGATTCAGCCTGTGCAGCATTGATTTTCCCTGTTATTACACTTCAAATTTATGGCTGGCTTTAAAATTGCAGTTAGTGGCAACCTGAGAGGGCGGGGGAGCAAGTGGGGGGGCTTCCTTCTGTCCTTGACAATGGCCTCTCCCTCCCCACCCACTTGCCGAGAGGGGCTGGGTGCCATGGAGCAGGGGTGGGAAGACCCCCACCCTTACCTTCTCCCGCCTCTTTGGCAAGCAGAAACCTCCACGTTTGGCAAGAAAAGCTTTCCTGTCATCTCTTTCCTGGGGGCAACAACACTTTCCTAAATAAATGCTTTCATAAGACGGGCTGTTGGGACAAAGAGGCTGGCTTCCCACGTTCATCTATTTATTTATACGTTATCAAATTTATGCCCACCACAGCCAAAACAGACTCTAGGCGGTTTACAGTCGTTCACAGCAACAAAAAAAGAAGGCATTTAAATTAAAACATCCACAGTAGAAACTAAAATAAAACAATAAACCAAATCCTGACCTCAGTAACTCAGGACCCATAAAGGCAGACTATGGGGGTGCCTGTCATTCGCTTCAAGAAGGCCAAACTCGAAAAGCAGCTCCAGTGAGTCTCGAGGGAAGGGGGGGCCATCAGCCCCTTCTCGTGGGTCAGTTTTGGCTGGGGAGGGTCCTGCAAGCACTTCCATGCCAAGCTATGTAGACCTTTCTGGGTAAGGACCACAGCAGACAGGAACCCGGTGCACTCAGTCCCAAAGTTTGGGACAAAGTTTGGGCTTGCTGTTTTCTATGGAGTGACCGATTGTGGTTTGCAAGCCAAGTTTCCTGGTTTCACTTGAAGTGGGAATGAGTCAACGGTGGCTTATTCCACACGGCACAATTATAGTCTACTGATCTGTAGAAGTCTGCGCCCTAGATCATGAGGAGAGACCCTCTGGTGCCCAAAGGCCTCGCAAAGTGCTCCTGGTGGCACCACCGGCCTGGGCTGCTTCCTCTGCCCACTGCCCATCTCCCAGTGCCCCGAGCAAGCGTGCCTCCCACCATGCCCACAAGGCGACCCCATCTGACAAAAGGAAGGCCTTCCCAGCCCTCTCTTGTTCCAACCAAGATCTCTGGGTTTCCAGTGGGTTTGTGGGCCCGTGCAAGTGGCAAAGAGGAGCACGCTCCTCTCCCCAGCAAAGGCATTCGGCTGCAGAACCCCAGCCCCGGCCGCCTGCCTTGGAGGTCAGAATGGCTATTAAGCCACAGCTTGCCTAACCAAATTATGCAAAGACCAAATTATCTCTCATGATTTTTATGTTCCAGAATGGCCGGGTGATTACTGGAGGATTGGGAACAGCTGTCACTCTATCAGAAACTCTAATTCTAAACAGCTGGCCTGTTGGTTCTCCACGGCGCCCACCCCGCCACACTGCTCTGCGCAACCAGCCTGGCTGCGTGGTTCCCAGCCAGCCTTGGGAGAAGCCCAGCTGGGAGGCCCTCCCTTCCCCCGGATGCTGGCCTCAAAGCGGGCAGGAAAAGCCCACTCCAGGCCCGGGCAAAGGAACCGCAAGCCATGTATGGCCTGCTTGCGGGAGGGGCGAGCGGGGGCCGGGGGAGCAGGAGCAGGACGCCTTTCAGGCCCACCGCAGGCATTAGAATTCCACTTTTCCCACTGGCTTCCTTCCCAAACTTTTATCCCGAGCACTTCCAGTCAAACCGTCCATTTCACTCAGTGGCGGGTTAAACCCACAAACCCAGAACTGTGTTAAAACCACCTAAAACAAAAACTGGCTTCAGGAGCGGCAGAACAACGCAGTTCGCCTCTCCCCGTCTGGGGCTGCAGAGAGCATAAAGCGGGCCGGGCCGGGCCAGGCCAGGCCAGGCCAGGCCAGCCTCTCCAGCCAGTCTGCAGGCAGGGGGCCCCCTCCAGAAAGACCTTTCCCGTGATGCTGGGGGACCCCTAGACCACTGACTTCTGCCTCCGAGTGGTTCCATCTGGCCCCCTTGGTGTTTCAGTCTCTTCCTGGAACTGCTGGGAAGGTCATCCAAAGTTTTGAAGGGGGTACACTGATGGCCCCCCAATCGATGGCCTCCCACCCTTTAACTCAAAGGAAGAAATTGGTTGAGCAACTTGGAGAACCCCCTGAAGTCTGACCCAGACCGGGCAGGAGACAGAAGGTCAGCTCCTTGGGGAGGGGGCTTCCTCCACATCCTGTGACATGCCTCGAATCCAAGCCCAGCTCTCCGGGAGCCGGGGGGCAGCAGAGGCCAGAGCGCCTTCCTGCATTTACAGCTGGCGCACCGGGGCGACCCGTCCTGCGCCCAAACTGTTAGTGGGCGGTCAAGAGGACTCGGGGGCACCGCGGGAGGCAGCTGAAGAGCCGAGCGCAACAGGGACGGAGAAATGCGGAGGGGGGCGAGGG